AAGAGAGAAGAAAATAAATGCAGTTGATGGAGGAAGATGTTCAAAAGAACTATGAAAAATTTTGGCAATCAAAGTATCAATCTACTATTTCAGCAGCATTTTAGGACCCTCCAATACTGATTAACCCAATTTCTACTGTTAAAACGAAATAAACAAGTGGCTGCTGGTCAATAACCTACAGATGAAAGGGCAACCAAGATCCTGGGGAATAACATGAGGGAAACAGTCAGGAAACAGGACAACAGAAGAGAAAGCAGAAAAAAATAATCAACATAGTGATATATTAAAAATATTAAAGATTAAACACTTTTTCACTAATAAAATCTCTTATTCTTGTACTAAGAATGACTGAAGTCCCCACAAACATTTCAATGAATTGGGAAAAACATGACATATTTAGCTTTTTTTTTAAAAAAAATAGAGATAGCACTGAATCAGAACTCCAGCCCTGAAAATCTTCAGCTTTAAGGAAATTCAGATCAAGATTTGGGAATGTTTGGATCCTTTATGGGTCTATATAACTATACCCTTTAATGATACATGGGAATTATCAGGTTAAATAACCATGTGGCAGTTCTGATTCGTAAGTACTTAAATATCACCAAAAATCTTTATTCCAACTACCACCATTTTACCTTAAACATATACATTTTATCAGAACTACAGATGTAATTTTGCCTTCTTTTTTCATTTGTGTGTGTGTTTATTTTTAGCCTTTCTTCAGAGCGGGAATGTCTCAGTCCTGTTGCAGCTGGAATCAGTGGCAAATATCCCATAGATTTAAATTGTGGAGGAGTGTGCTAAGAGCTATTTATTGCATTTCTTGTGTCAACATCAGGGCAGCCAACAGACTTCCTCAGGCCCAAGGAAATGAGGGTGGTGGTTCTGAACCCCCAGAAGAGATGGAACATTGAGCAGAAAGGCAGGCTGGGGCTAGTCTCCCCTAGCCAGCCCTTCTGTGCCACCCAGCCCATGCCACCTTGGGCTCCAGCAGTGATTTAAAGGGCCCAGGGCTACCTACAGCCATTGCCACTATGACTGCAGTGACCAGAATTCCTGAGCCCTTTTGAATTGCCAGGCACCAGGGCAGCTGCCCCCCCTCTTCTCCCTCCACTCCTCCCATTATTGGCAGGTCTGGTCGACAGAAAAACTGATGCACAAGAGATCTAGGTTTAGCAAACACCAGAAACATGCTTGTTAAGCTATAACATTCAGGGCTTGTCTATATAGCCAGCAGTTTGAGCTACATATGAGTGAACAGCATTCCAAATGTATGGAAAATAGGGACATTGTAGTTTAGGCCTGCAACATCCACAAAGGGGTTACTGCACAGCACATGAGTGTCCATTGGTAGTCACCGGAGCAGTGGTACAGTACAGACCTAACCTCAGAAGAAGAAAGCTGACAGTTGTACAGAGAGTCTGCCAAAAGAAATTGCCTGCATTTCAGAGAGCCAAAAGCAAATACATTACAAAGTCACTGGTAGATTCAGGCCAGGAGGAACACCCAGCCCATACATAACACAGAGCACCCAGCTCCTAAGTAACACAGAGCACAGAACTTCCCTGAAATAATTCCTGATTGAGCTAGAGCATATCTGACACATGGATCAATGAGAGATCAGGGATGTAAGGCAGACAGCCCAAGCAGAATGCAAAACAGACATTAGTATTAGTAGAACTAAGAACCTTTTTCGTTTTTCCATTGAAACTCACTTTTTGGTTGCAGATGAAACAATTGATGGATCTGTATCTGTATCAACACAATTTTTCCAGGAAAATGTTTGCTACCTAGCATGGATTTTCTGGTTATTTCCCGAAAGAAACATTTTCAATCTGGAAATGTGTGTTTCATCATAATTCTGTTTTGCAAAAAAAACTCTGATGCACAATGAACACAAATTTCAAAAACCTCAAAAACTGTAATGAAATGGACTTGATACCCCCTAGCCAGCTCCAAGCATTATGTTGTGATTTTAATAAACCATGGTCCTGATTCTCCTCCCCTCCTCACGCTCCCACTCTTGGCTTATTGCTATTATATTATTTCAAACTCAGAAAAGGGGGAAACAGTTAAAATCAAATGTGGCTAACATGATAAAATGGGTTTGACACAACAGTGACACATTTTCCAAAAGCAAGTTGCTTCATAGGCATAAGTGACAATATAGTCTTCCTTGAAGAGTTACGATTTTGAAAGGGTGCAGGTATCCTAAACAATGGACTGAAAAAAAATACAGGAAGCAGGCCGGGAAAAAAACCTAACCTCTGCACAAACAGTAACTTGATACATTTTCTCTTTCAAAATCAGAGTTCTTTGTTTCTAGATTGAAGTGTCTGAATAGACTCAATAGCACTATTATACGTTATCCATTTACTTGGCAGTGCAAAGAGTCTTTTGATGAGAAAATAGAGAATGAGGTAACAATGGGAAATGACAGAAATCAACACAGATGAACATGCTAGTTTTCTACAGTGTACTAATATGTGTTGCCATTTAGGAAAGCTTATTTGCTTACCTGCAGAAAACAATCAGTGGCAGGTACCCTGAAACTGACTGATCCAAAGCATTACACTAATGAATTTTATATGTTTGCTATGGTTTGTTTCTGTAGCGCTATAATTGCCCTTTATGGAAAAGTCTTTTAAATTTTAGGAAAATTTTCCTTTAAAGGAAAACACCTTTACATTTTAAATAGGTTATATCCTTTCCATACAAATTTTAAAACCCTCCTCTGTAATTTCAAAGAGGAAGACAATTTTTCATAGGCGTCTTTGACTCACCTAGAATTCTACAGCGAGGATTACATTCTAAAGAATGGCTATAAAACCTATAAATTATCTTTATTATTATTTCATTGCTCTTATTGAAGGGGTGCATTAGCTATTATACTCCAATGTAGCAAAAAGAAAGTCCCTGTTTCATTGAGTTTATCCATATATTTGGTTCTACAGGGCTTTGTGATAAACGTCGAATCTCATTTATTCGTGATTCTGTTTAATAATGTAAAGGAAACCATTACACTTGCTGATATATATTATTTAATTGCACCCCAATCGAATAAATGGATCTGTAGATATGTCCAAAACTGCAATGAAAAACCCATGAAACTAAGTTGTAGAGCCCTGTTCAGCTGAGTCACACTTATGGAGCTCTAGCAATGGGGCTATATCAGTGTAATTGTTCTGGCTTTGGCTGGAGTAAAGGCTCTGGGACCCTGACCCATGCTCCAGGTTTCAGAACTCAAAGGTCTAGCTTGCACAGGAATGTCTACACTGCTGTTTTTAGCTCCACAGCCTGACCTCACAATCCACTGACCTGTGTGTGGGCAAGCCCCTTAGATATATGAAAGGTCTGACTTTTACAGCACTACACATAGTTCTAATGTATGTTCAAATTACAAGGGCTCTCAATTTTTCCAGACTACTGTACCTCTTTCAGGAGTCTGATTTTTCTTGTCTACCCACTTAAAAAGTCTTGCTTCACAAATTCAGACAAAAAATTCAAGTGTCACAGCACACTATTCCTGAAAAATTTGCTCTCTTGTTTTTATCATATAATTATAAAATAAACCAGCTGGAATATAAATATTGTATTTCAGTGTATAGTTTATAGAGCAGTATAAAAAAGTGATTGTGTGAAATTTTAATTTGCATTAACTTCAATTATGCTTTTTCTGTATCATGTTGTAAAACTACCAAATATTGTGATGAATAGAGGACCTCCTGGATGACCCTGGCATACTCTCAGGGGTACACATACCTCTGTTTGCGAGGGTACAGAACAGAAGGCATTTAGTAAATAGGGGCTATTCACATCCCATCATTATAGTCTTGTCTGTATGAATATGGATTTTCATTTGTTTTATTTGAAAATAAAATGTCAATTCTAAATTGGTAAAAAAAAATTCCCAGTGTTTCAAACTAGATAAAAGCTAATGGTTTTTAATATCTAACCACATTACTTTCCACATGTTTACTTCATGTTGCAGAGCTACAACAGATCATTAATGTCCCTGATGACAGGCTTTTTAGAGTCTTGGTTTCATAAGCCCAGAAAAGAAATAAGTGTCTTCCCTAGAAGACATTCGCTTCTGACTGCTGCTAATAATGCAACATTTCTTCCCACCCCTTAAGGGCATGGTGTACATAAATGATTGATAGCTTACAATATATGCATTGTGTGGTAAACTCTCTCAAGAGATGCTCGATTACAAAAATATGCATTTTGCATACTTGTCATTTGTTTTGTTCTTGATCACATCCTAAGTTTTCTTTCTGTACGTAGCCCAGTTTGGGTGGTTTTCAGAGCTAAGGGAGATTACTAGAAAGATCTTCATTCCACAAAGTGCTGTTGAGTGGATTCTGCCATCAAATCAAAATATAGTCTCCCAGTTACTGAAAAAAAAATTAGCTGCAATCTTTTATTATAATTTCAAGCAGTTCAAAAAACAGGGACTATTAATGATGGATTAGGGAATTTTGAAATGAACAGATAGTTGGGATGAAAAAAAATCAGAAGAAATCATTCATTCCGTGGTAAAACCAGTTAAACAGTTCCATATTAGCCAGATTAGAAGCAAAAGTAATTTTGTAAGAATGGCTATTCTTGTAAGAGTTCCAGTCCAGTTCTGCCAACCCCTGAGGTTTGTTTAGTTCAGAGAGAACTCAGAGACAAAAGGACACAGATTTTTGAGAGTTAGCTTGGCTGTTCAGTTCAGATTTCTGATGTTCAGTCTCAGCTAGTTCAAAGCTCAAATTTTTCTGATGCTAAGAATTAATGAGAGATTTGGGCTGACAGTGGTTTTAGGTTAAAGCAAGGTCATGTAAAAAATTTCTGAGATCAATAGAGATAGAGAAGAACCTTCCAAAAGGCAATATAACCTGTGAGGATAAATCTGACTGCCCCGGAATGAATTACAGAAGGAAAGTGGTTTTTGCCCTTAAATTATAGAGCAAAATATTTTTTTAAAAATCTATATTCTGTATGAGATTTTCTTTCATGCTCCCTTCAAGGATTTATTCTGAAATGTTAGGTAGTAAAAATCTGGTCAAGAAAGTTAGATAGACGCCTATGAAGCATCTCTAATCACTGATAGTTACTATATGGAGAGAAACACAATACCTCTTCCAAAGTGGTGTCTGAAATGCCATAGCCAGTCACATGTAGATGTTCAAGGTTTTCATCCAAAGCCTGAAAGAGGCCTTTAAAGGAGATCTTATCTGCTTTTGCTGGAATTACATAGGTCAGCTCACTTCCACTGTTCTCTTTTAGGAATGCTTCTGGGACATAGGACTGTACTAGAGAGGTCACTTGAACAGTATACTTAGGCTCCTCGATTTCAAACACAGAAGGCTAGGTAGAAAGGAAAAATAATAATAAACAGAGTTTATATACCATCAAAAAGTTGTAAAGCATGTCACACTTTACACAGTGCACAGTTAACCTGTGGAACTCCTTGACAGAGGATGTTGTAAAGACCAGAACTTTAACAGAGTTTTTTTTAAACTAGATAAATTCATGGAGGTTAAGTCTATCAACACTTATTAGGCCAGGATGGGTGGGAACGGTGCCCTAGCCTCTGTTTGTCACAGACTGGAAATGGATGACAAGTAAGGGTATTACTTGATGATTACCTGTTCTGGTCACTCCCTCTGGGGTGCCTGGCATTGGCCACTGTCAGAAGACAGGATGCTGGGCTAGATGGACCTTTGGTCTGACCCAGTATGGCCATTCTTATGTTCTACAGGTTGAACCTCTCTTACTTAACCAAGACTCTATGGTCCAGCAACATCCTTGGTCCATAAGGACCACTGATATTTATGTCCAGAGAGTCCCATGGAGGGCAAGTGGCTGGGAGCCCTGCAGCAGTAAAACCAAGAGCCCAGCAGTAGGGCAGAGATCCGGTGGGTACGCTGCAGGGGGGCCGGAAGGCAGCGGGGCTGGAGCCCAGCAGCAGAGCTGCCACCTGGTGGCGAAAGCACCCAGGAAGACTGGGAGGTAGCGGGGTTGTCCGATGGTGGGGCAGCACAACCAGGAGCTTGGCAGGCCTAGTACTGTCCAGCAATGCAGCTGTGTGGCAGGACAGGAAGGCAGTGGGGCTGTCCTTTGGGCCAGGAGCCTGACAGTAGGGCGGCCTGCTGGTTAGGCCAGGAATCTGGGAGTGGGGCTGCCCAGCAGGGCAGCAAAAAGCCCGGCAGCCTTGCTAACATGAGGCAGAGCTGCCTGGTGAGGCCGGGAGGCTGCCTGGTGAAGCGAGGCTGAAGCCCACGTAGAGCTGCCACCTGGAAGCACAGCTAGAGCCCAGTGGGGGGGAGGGGCTGCCCCGCAGAGCTGGGAGCCCAGCAGTGGGACTGTGTGTGCAGCGGCAGGACCGCCATGGTGGGGCCAGGAGCCCTGCGTGCAGGAGGGGCTGGCTGAGAGGCCGGCAGCAACGCCATGGCTGGGGGCAGGTGGAGGACAGAGAAGGGTGAAAAATGATGTTCCCTGACCAGCAAAGTCTCTCAACCGGGACCAGTCTGGTCCCCAAGGGTGCCAGACTAGGGGGGTTCAACCTGTATACCAGGACTACTCAACTTTGGAAGCCCTGGGGGGCACAATGATATCCACAGCACATGCTGAGGGCTGCAACTTAAGCGCAGTTGCAAATATATGCAAATATATGCAAACAGCTTCTTTCATATTGATGGGCATGAATACAAAGATTGAGGCAAGACTACACAACATGCAGGACCCATTTATGTCAGATCTGCTGATATTAATAAAATGCAGTATTTACCCAATTTCCACTCATATGACAGCACTTTTAATGAGCAATGACAGTTCAGCAATTTAACTACTAAAACACATATCAACAGAAGACCATTATATTGATTACTTTTTTGTTTTGGCTTCATAATTTTAACAAATCAAACAAAAACTGCCAATACAATATTACTGAAATATAAGTACAATCAGTGTGAAGTTAAAGGCACCAAGTGGTGAAGTCGCCTGGCTAGAAAAGGAATCCAGGAATCCTGCTTCCGAGAATCCCTTCCTTTCCCCTGCTCGCCCCACCAAGCACCAGCTCACAGAGCAGAGACTGGACCCCTCCCCCGAATCTAACCAGCAAACCCACTGCCCACCTATAGGAAAGGAAAGAAGTCAGAAGTTTTAACACCCAGTTCCCTGCTCTAACCCCATGCCCCTGCCCTCCCCCAGAACCAGGCACCCTCCAGCCCTCCCTCTCCAATCCAATTCCCCTCCCATCCCCCAGAGCCAAGTATCCTGCCAGACCCACCTGCTCTAACCCAATGCACCCACCCTCCCCCAGAACCAGGCACCCTCCTGCTCCAACCCAATGCCCCTCCACGCCCCCAGAGCCAGGCACCCCCAGCCTCCCTGCTCTAATTCAATGACCCTTCCATCCTGCAGAGCCAAGGAGATAAATCTAGTGGGGTGGAGCGTGGGTCTCACTGGAGCCATGTGCTTTTCCCTTCAGGCTCTGGGGCCCGTTCGCAGTGCGATTGTGAATGGTCCAGGCGTGCGGCACCGAACATTCCACTGAAGGCACATGCCGCCGATGCGGCACCGAACATTCCACTGAAGGCACATGCCACTGACCTCTCCCCGATCTCCTTTGCAGGGCAAAAAAAATCTCAGACATTTTTTCGTCTTTTAAAAAACCTGGCCAGCCAGCGATTTAACATGTGAAAACAAGGACACGTCCAGGAAAAACCGGACGTGTGGTAACCCTACCCAAGCCCTAGTGCAGAACTCTCTCACCCCGACCTCGCTCCGCCGAAATCTCTCACTTCCCAGCTCTGCCACTGCCTTGCCACATGCCTCTTGCCACCCTCAGGAGCTCCTGCACACGCGCCGACATGGCCTGGCTCAGGGAGGCACTGCTGCTGTGGTAGATGTGGCAGGTGTGCTCTGCTGCGCCTTTTGCCGCTCCCTCCCCCTGAAAGCAGCTCCCATACATGCCCCGATGTGGCTTGTCTCAGTGCCGCGCGGCTTCGCTCGCAGGGAGGTGCTGCCGCTGTAGCAGACATAGCAGGTGTGCTGTGCCGCCGCCTCTTGCTGCCCCCACCCTCCCGCCAGATCCTGCGCACATGGCCTGGCTCAAAGCCACGCAGCTTGGCTTGTGGCTGGCCACTGCCGCTGGAGTCCCAGTGTTGAGGCAGGCAGGTAGCCCAGGAAGTGGTTCAAAGTGCCGCGGGCCACATGCGGCCCATGAGCCGCGTGTTGAGTAGTCCTTCTGTACACTGAAAACAAGTATGGAGCCTGGGCTGGAAACACCTTCCGTGGATGTATAATCCCAGTGAAATTTCTGGGTCTACTCTGAGCAAGGGACTGCTCACCATGAGTAACGAATTACAGGATTAGGTCTCTATTCAGAAAATCATCAAATTACTAATTTTACTATGTTGTTAGATTATTTTATATGCAAATTAATTGAGTTCTGAAGGTTGTGAAAAACATTTGTTATATATCAGGGTTAAATAGACCAAGTCTCTCCCACATCCCTGATAACGTAAAGTGAAGGCAATACCACAATTATCTTGCATTTAAGTTACTAACAGTGTTACAAGGTTCCCTCAGGAAAAAACAAATACACACAATATATCACCATTCCTTAGCCAGAAGGGCATATTGTGCACAGTTCCCTCATCATACCTTTTTTGTGAGTGTTAGACTGTATCCCTGGCCATATGTTTCCTTCAGGTAAGAGGGAGAACCATAACATCTCAGCTGCCCATGCTGCAAGATGGCAATATGATCACTGAGCACTTCTGCCTCATCAAGATGGTGTGTAGTGAAGATCAAGGTGCGACCTACCCAGGAAGAGCAGTAGACACTGATTAACACTATTTTAAAATGTTCTCTCATGAGACACTTTTTTTTTAAAAGAGGATTCTTAAGAGGGTAGTAATTCTACAAATGTATAAGAGCACTTCAGTATACAGAACACAGGCACAAAATACTTGCTAACACATATCCCATTCACACTCACTGACATTGTACATATAAATCAGTGCAAAGATTAGGATGGAATTTAAGGGAGACAGCAACAAGCAGTTGGAATTTCAAGGGTGGGAAGGTTCATTTCATAAGGTTAAGAAATTCTTAAAATCTCTTAACTGTGGTAACAGTTTCAATAGATCATTCACTGTGGTTTAGTCTAGCTAATAGGGAACTGAGGTGCCTGCTACTTCAGAAGCTTGCATCCTACTGTCTGTTTTAGCTCATGACACTAGAAAATTACTGGAATGAGTTAACTGATTAGCATTTCCTTTGGAAGAAAAAAATATATATAACCACATGGGAAACCAAAAAAAGGAGAGTTCTCCAAAAATGAAAAATCAAAGTCAAGGAGTGATGAAGCTAGGAGATAACACTTTTAATCCAGAGCAGGATCAGCATGGACTGAAACCTAAATTGAATATTTATTAAAAATACTAGATCAACCATCCTTCCTGAAGACAAAGAGAAGGTAGCTCTGAGTTTTGGTTGGCTGTTTAGGATTTCTGTTTACCAACTGGAAAGCAAAATACTATTCTGAACCACCCTTTGAGGGGAAGGATGTTAGCCAGAAAATGACTTGAATTTGTACCAGCTCTGTACTTCAACAGAATGTCCCAGATTTTCCGACGGGAACATGGATCCACGCCACTGGTGGGCTCATCTAGAACAACAGTCTTGGAGTTTCCAATAAAGGAGATAGCAATTGAGAGCCTTCTTTTCATCCCCCCAGAGAGAGCTCCAACATGTTCATGCTGATGGTGGAATAAATCCACATCATTCAGGGCTCTGGAATAAAAGCACAAATAAAACCATGACCTTTAAGAATCACAAACCTTTTTTATTTTTTAAAAAAAGATCAGCCACCACATCATCCCAAACCACAATGACAGTGATCTAAAGTCACATGTATACAAAAAAATCATGGGCAGTTCAAATACAGCACAGCACATAAAACGGTTACAATTTCTTCTTGTAGTCACTGAGAAGTGATAGTAATAATAAACAAGATCTTATTTTTAACTGCAACCCTCTTATAAGCCTCATGAAATATACTTTTAATGACCATTTCATAGGATTAAAAAAAAAATCTAAATTATAGGACTCAACAATGGTCCAGTGAAGTTACTGAGAGTCTTTCCATTGACTTTAATAAGATTTAGATTAGGCAGTATACAAATCTGGAGAGAGAAGAAAACAGGTGCATAACTGAAGATAGTTCAAAGACTTTGAAGTACAGGCAGTCCCCAGGTTACGTACAAGATAGGGACTGTAGGTTTGTTCTTAAGCTGAATTTGTATGTAAGTCAGAACTGGTACATATTGTAGGGGAAACTCTAGCCAAACACTTCTCCAGAGCTCAGTTTTATTCTCCCACACCTCACTTCCCTCAGTCCTTTATTCTCAAGCTGAGGTGTCTGCTGAGAAAAGCCGCTCCGCGTCTCCCTGGTCTGCTGGGGGGAGTGCTAGCTTCACGTCTCCCTGGTCTGCTGGGGGGAAGCAGTTAGTGCGGGGTTGCCTCACCCCGTTTGTAAGTAGGGATCCGATGTAAGTCGGATCCATGTAACCCGGGGACTGCCTGTTATTATTTAATATGCATACATGTAACCCGGGGACTGCCTGTATTATTTAATATGCATTTAACCACATAGGCACATTTAAAACTGACACGTTGGTCTGAAAGAAATAGTTATAAGAACTGGAATCACATTCTCCTTCTCTTTACAAAACAATATCTTTCAGATCAGACTTGCAAAGAGGTCTCCCCATGCAAACACTTACATTAACATTTAGCCTCATTACACCAATGAGACACCACACAGAAGCAATGGTAGGAAGCTCTGATGGATTCAGTGCTTGTAAATAGGTGCCAGATTGCAAAGCAAAGCCAACAGAACAATATGAACTGCAGCAGAGAAAATTTCCCCACACTTCTCAACCACTGTGGTTTAAGAGTCACTTCTTAAAAAGGGGGTAATTTATTTGCCATCGGCTATTTAATCCTTAGCCATTACTTGATGCTGCCTCCATTTATTATGTGGACACCTGTCCAATAAAAACTGGACTGCAAAACCACCAACTTATTTCACATGTCATCCAACAGCCATTGGCTTCTAATTGCTTTCAGTCACTATCAATCTGGGTTTATTTGAACTGGCAAGCAAAAGACAAGATATTCCCCTGCTTATCTGCTGAGTCATTCATCACAATACATTCTAAATTCAAGTAATTTTTCCATTTTAAAGAAAGCAAATTCCTACAGCAAAGTGCTGGCTTGATATAAACATATATACAGCATGTTTTCTAACCTTCTGAGAAGCTACATTAAAATCGCGTGTTGCTTTTTTTAGAAAAACAAAATCTTACTGTTTCCTCTGTTAAAAAAAAATCTCATTTCTGTAATAGTCTTAGCAACAAAGGCTTAATTCAATACAAATGTTCTGCTTCCCATGAAAACACCCAGTTTGTGACAAGAACCTATTTCCTGAGCCTTTGAGAGTCAAGTTATTACATGATCTAGGGTATTCAGTAGTCCGAGTACTATAAACCACTTGAGAATTTTTTTAGGTCTTGTCTGTAATATTCTTACTCTAATTTTCATTTTTAATTTCATTGCTGAAAATTAAAATCAGTGAATACATTTATAAGCCAGCATTTCAGAACACAAACTCCATCCTTAGCACTCTCAAGATTCCACTAAGCAGGGCTGACTCTTCTAAGATGAGGCTTGCTTTATTCACTAGTGGTTTTGGAGTAGTTATGAAGGACAGTCTATGTCTACATATAGGTTTCTGGCAAGGCAAATAAGGACCACTGACCTACTGACTTGCTGATGTAACTTTTTCTTTGCCCACAGAGGTGCTTTCACTGAGCCATAGAACAGCAGATGCTCTCGCACAGTTAAGGTGTCAAACAGCACATCATACTGTGGACAAACACCCATCTCCATTCTGATAGCAGTCAGATCAGTATGTATATCCCTTCCATTGATGATGATGGTCCCAGAGCTGGGTGGATACAGGCCTGTTAACATGGATCTGAAACAAGATATAACAGTGTCGTGGGTCAGAAGCAGAAAAAGAGCTCTGTGGAGCAACAAAGCTTGCCTTTTTCACCAAAAACAATTGATCCAATAAAAAAAATCATCTTATCCACCTAGCGCCTGCCCATAACAAACAATTAGTTGACAACTAATTCAGTCAACGCACTACATTCAGGACACATTTTATGTTGTATCCTGAATTTGTTCTATTCACTTATTTCAATAATTTCTTGGGTCACAGCTGCATTATTTAAATGACTCTGGAATGTGTGTGGAGGAAACCTTGTTATTAATGCAAAAATGGTCATTAATAAAATTATAATTTACTCTTACAATGTTAGGTCATTACAAACTTGCCTGCAACTTAACTGATTGTAAGAGAGACCTACATTTATTTTTATACTCAGTATGCTTAGAGATTTGAACACATTTTTTGCTTTGGTTGCTTATTAAATGGAAAGTTGCATTTTATTACATGTAATTCTTTAGGCAATCTTCTTTCTGTCAACCACTGACAAATTTCAAATGTCAAAGCAGATACATTGGCCATAAAATACCTGCATGTTTATACAGGGTCTAAAATGTAACTTTAAGCCTCTATTTTGCTTTAACTTTCTATGCTATTTTCTTTTATATGTTTGGAAAGTATACAATGTTTTTGTGCCAAAGGTTTTGCATAAAATATTAATACGTAACTTTATTTGCATGATGTAAATATATTGCAAAGGAAGATCTTAAATCCAAAGACAGACAAATCATAATAAAGAGGTCTTATTAAAAACAGGACACATCTTTTGTGTGATGTAGATGTGATCTTGCCTATAAAAAAAACCTCTATATGATATTCATACTTTAGAAAGAGTCCTGACTTTCTTCTGAAGTAAGGATGCTTTGTTTAGAACAAACGGAAATGAATGCTTGAGGTGTTAACTTTAAAATTAAGATATAAAGTTGGCTTTCCTTTTACCCCACCCCTCACACACACTTTTTCAACACAAATCTCTAGTTTAAAACCTATTCATTCATTTAAATAAAGAATTTTCTTATTGAAAATATTTTCTTCCACTCAAAACACTAAGAAAATCCTGAATGTCTGGAAAATGTCTTACCCAAGCTGGTTATATCTACCTTGTGTTTTCCTTAAATGCTTGAAGAGGGCACCAGCTTCTTTTTAAGGTACAGCTGCAAATATTATATCTAAATGCAAAACATCCTGACGTCTTTGCTAAATGGTAAGCTGCTTCATGTATTAATATGGAATCCTCTGACCTTGCTGTGACTGATCATTAATGTAAGAAGTTATCTAGCAATGCTTAAGCAACTTTCTTACCAAAATCATAAAGGCAAGCAAGATTTGATTAGGAGAAAGGATAATAATTTATTTAATGAATATTCTAGCTAAAAAATGCTCTCTTCAAGAATTAAGTTTAACCCTTACAACATTATCTTGCCCATATGTAAGCTCTTTTAGTTAGTAAGAATACTCTGATCTAGGTCTCACTATTAAGTTTGGGAATAAGCTACTTTGGACTTCTGCCAGGACAGACAACTTTCAAAAGTATAACCAGTCCAAAATTCTCCATGGTCACATATATAAAAGAGTTTATAACTGAAGTAACTATTATTTAATTTTTGTCTTTTGGTTTTTTTTTGTGTGTCTCTTTTCCTTTCTTTAATAAAGCAGTCAGTTCCTATCTGGAACGATTTTGCTTGTTCGAATAAGTTTCCCCTAAATCCTGGTAAAGAACTCCAGGTGACTAAAATTGTGGGAGTCATTCCACTGAATTGGTATTGTGAGAGAGAGCTATTAAAGTTTGTATGTAATTTTTAAATTAAAATAAATTGGCGTTCAACATCTTGAAAAACTCCTTAGAATTACACAAATGCTTTAGGTAGATCCTCAGCCGATGTAAATTGGTGTACTTCTATTAAGTGTACTGGAAAAATATCAACTTTCCTGTAATAATGATGGAAAAGTTTCTAATGCAAACATTTTTTGTTTAAACCCAATCTCAATTATTCATTATGTTTCTTGCTATTTCCTGAACAAGGTTCATTTGCCTAGCTGGAGGGCTATTCAACTGATCGGTGTTTCCTGGTGTGTAGCTGGAACTGCAGGATAAAATCTCTAATTCCCTATTTATGTAGGCTCAGTCCTGCAGTTCTTACCCATGTTAATCAAGTTTTGACTGAATCTAGAATACAGTTCATTCTAATTAGTAATTTATGTAGCTACAGGGGTTGAAAAAAAATAGTCCTAATTTTCAATATTTCATTAATGTAAAGGGCAGAAATAGATTAACTTTTTAATTAAACTAGTTATAAAAAAATAGTTATTTCTGCCTCTTTTCAGATGTCGGATCATCCTCTTCAACGTCCAGGAAGAAAGTTTGCATGGTCAGTAAACCTCTAAAATCTCCATCTGATGCAAGCACAAGTACACATGCCCACAATAACCCCTTGTTCCCATCCACCACTAAAGCTGCTTAAAATAATATTTTTACCATTGAAGTTATAGTGAATAGGACCCCATATTCCACTGCAATGTATTTGTTTTGCCGGTGACACCTTGGCCCAATAAATTGATGTAAGCAGCCTCAATGATCTCTTTTACATGGTAAAAAAATGTGCAAGGACAGAGAACAAGCAAGGTGATAGAGTAGGTCTGCTAACACGCTGAGAATATTTCAAAACACCAAATAAGGTAAAATGTGTTGTAAGACATCATACATAATCGTAGTCTTGCCAGCTCCATTGGCACCCAAGAGCGCTGTTATTTGATCCTGGTAGAAAGTAAGAGTGAGATCTTTAACTGCCATCTTTTTGTTATCTGTGTATTCTTTGGTGAGAGACATCAGCATAACTCCTACGGCGGTTCCTCCTTCCCTCACACTTTTCTCATCTTGGGGCAGAGAACCTATAGACATGAAGAATAAGTCTATAAAAATACTGTCAGTTATGTAGTGAAGATTAATTGTCCATTTAAACTATAGAATCAGGTTGTGTACATTAACAAAAAGATGCCAATTTATAACCATAATGGATCGAGCCCAAGATTAGGCGAGGTATCTAGCCAATGAAAAGATTTAATTTCACCCAAAATAAACTTGATAAACAAGTGTGTGCATATATACACATAAGCGGTAATTATTCAAATGTTAATGACAAGTATTAAAATGTATTCCTTTAATAGTGACATTTTTACAAAGGAACAAGAAAAACTAGAGTTTGTAGACCAGAAAACAAGGGGAAAATATGGCTTGACTAAAGGGAATGGAGAAAAAAAAAGGAATGAACACAACATTCCTTTCTCAGTAAGTCAGTAGAGTCAGGGTAGTCAAACACTGGAATAAATTGCCCAGGGAGCTTGTGGAATCCCCATCTCTGGAGATATTTAAGAGTAGGTTAGATAATGTCTATCAGGGATGGTCTAGACAGTATTTGGTCCTGCCATGGGGGCAGTGGACTGGACTCGTTGACCTCTGGAGGTCCCTTTCAGTCCTAGTATTCTATGATTCTATGAACATTAATGAACGAGAAAGACTAGTGAGAATGAAACAACCAAAACTTTCCCCTTTACCTTTTCTGCACTGTGTTTCAGAATCCTGAAACTTTAACTCTATTGGCCTTTCTGCTACTTGATATATATGTACTCAGAAGCTTACATAAAGGTGCCGGGCCCTGACATTGCTGGGAAAGAAGAGATAGTCTTACTTTTCCCCTTCCAGTCTAAGAAGAGCAAAGGAATCATCAGGGCAGGGGGAAAGTAAAGGTCTCTATGCAAAATAAGCATCAAAGGTAAATATAATCCTACTGATAGAGGGAACTGGAAACTGTGAGGAGAGAGCACTCCGTGGAGGGCTTGAAAGTCAAGATTGTTCAGATAATATTCCAATTAACATCTACATATTTAGACATTTAACTGAACCTGTAAAGCTTTTGAAATGTTTCTCTTCAGTACTAGAAAGGTACTGATAAAAAATGCTCTTGGGTGCTGACCTCCACTATAAATAGATGAAACATTTCAGATAATATGTAATTTCATGTGATCACAGAGGACTTCCAAGGCCCAAGAATGGATATGGGTGGCATGTATTTCTCTATCCATGAATCTTTAATCAAAAGAAATGTATGACAATGTAGTGAGATGGGCCTTAGGGAAAAGCAAATACATCTGATTTTAAACACCAAAACATGTAAGGAATTCATAATCAGCCGAACCCAGAACAGGAAAGAAACTGTGGAATTTCTGGTATGCAGTGGTAGTAGCCCTTGAAAATAGAGATGATGCATGGGTTTTAAAATGTGAGGGTGAAAAGGAGTCAGAAAGGACAGAATTTAGATAACAAGACAGAATGAAAAAAAAAACAATTCACGTGAAAGATATAAACCTTTCATTGAGGCAAGGAAAATATAAAACAGAGCCTTATATTTGATTTAATCTGAAAAAAGTGTGGCTGTAGCAAAATGGAATTCTGACCATAAGTTTTAATGAGCACAAAATTGTTCGGGTTACTGAACACTTTACAACACTGTGAGGAATGTCAAAGGGTCCTTAAAAAGCTGAGTGAATGCACAGTACAATAGCAGATGAAATTCAGTATTGACAGATTCAAAGTGATATATATTCAAACAGTCATTTCAACCACTCGTACTATAATGCCAGAGTACAAAACATGCAGGAATGACGAAAAGGTCAGGCTAATGCAGAGAGTGGCACTTTATGGGAAAGAAAACATAGGGTGAAATATAGTAAAATTCTTAAACTAATCAAACTGTACTACAGAATCTCTTTGAAACTTCTTGTTTGAAAGTAAGAGTAGAGTCGGAGGAATATACTACTGACCACTTGGCCAGGATGGTGATGGTGATTTTGAAATGCTCAGGGAAGACAGAGTCAAAATACAAAATAGAAAAATAATACTTAGTTACAATGGGGGGTTTCAACTACCCCCGTACTGACTGGTTACAGGTCCTATCAGGAAATGAGAAATATGTTTCTAGACATAATTTATGACTATTTATTATTATTGGAGCAGCTAGTTATAGAACTCTGAAGGGGAGAAGCAATTTTTGATTTAGTCCTAAGTGAAAGATAGGATGTGTTCCAAGATATGAATATAGGGGAACTGTTCAGTAATGGCTTAATATTCTTATAGAGGTGAAAATACCAAAGAAGTCCACCATGGTAGCATTTAACCGCAGAAAGAGAACTACACAAAAATGAGGAAACTATAGAAATAAATATTAAAACGAACAGTTCTACAGGAAGATTATGGTGGTTCACTACCAGTGAATGGAATGTTGATTATCATGCTTATTGCCCCAAACAGCCAAGTTAGTAGGTTTGTGCAGCAGGTTTGAGTGTCCACAAGACAAGAGCCTGGGGCTGTGGACTTCCTGATAAGATCTCTGCTAACACACATATCTCAGCAATTTCAACAAAGAGGAAACATACATATTTGTCCTCTGGGATGTTTGTTAGGGCCCTCAAACATGCCACAAAAACCACATTTTTCTAATTAGCCACCTGAAGAAACCTCTTAATTAACCTCTGAAACTATTTGTTTATCAAGTTTTTTTTAAATGTATTGATATTTTATTGTCACGCTAGCAATAAATAAGGAGGGAGTAGTCTAGTTGGATCACATCTGAGGGTGCTCAAAAGCAGATGGATGATGGGGTACCAGATGACTGTCAAGTATCATTTGAAAACCACTCTAGACTTAGGTAATTTTTGAGGGTTGGGGTATATTTATTACTCTGTGGCAGACATGTGTAAGTGCTTGAGACAAAATAAAGTGTAGTTTTAAGTAACAGCACTCTTGTATTGTAAATGTCAATCATCTTTCAGTTAGATATTCATGTCCCAATTGATTTATGTCGTGCCTCTGCCTCACCACAGGTAAATGTTCCAAAGAGCTTTGGGTACAGCAAATCCCTGATAGCAACATCACAACAGGGAAATAAGTGCAAGCTGCATGAAATTTTTAAAAATACAAAATAAACAGAACCAAAAAAATGCCACCATGGCTAAACAACAGAGTAAAAGAAGCAAAGTCATTCTTTAAAAGTTGAAAGGCACATCCTACTGAGGAAAATAGAAAGGAGCATAAATGCTGACAAGTCAAGTGTAAAAGTATAATGAGGCAGGCCAAAAAAGAATTTGAACAGCAACTAGAAAAAAAGATTAAAAAACTAACAGCAAAGAAATTTAAGTACATCAGAAACAAGAAGCCTGCCAAACAATCAGTGGGGTTACTGCGTAATCAATGTGCTAAAGGAGCACTCAAGAAAAACAAGGCCATTGCAGTGAAAATAAATGCATTCTTTGCATCCCTCTTCCCTACAGAGATTTCTAAACATGCGCCATTTTTTAAGTGACAGATCTAAGCAATTGTCCCAAGCTGATGTGTCAACAGAAGTGATCTTGGAATAAAGTGATAAATTAAACGTAATAGGTCATCAAGATCAGAAAGAACTCAAATATACAATTGCAGAACTCTGGTATTGGTTGAGTGGAGGATAGCTAACGTGATGCTAGTTTTATAAAAAGACTCAAAAAATGATCTTTGTAATACAGATATGTTCAGTACAAGGCAAATTGGTTGAAACTTTAATAAAAACCAGAATTATCGGACACATAGATGAACACAACTTGTTGAGAAAGTGTCAATACAGCTTTCTGTAAAGAAAAACCACAAAAGAGTCAACTAATGTGTCAACCAGGTTGATGAGGGTGGATATAGTGTACTTATACTTTCAGAAAGCATTTGACAAGATCTCACCAAAGGCTTTTAAATAAAGTAAGCAGTCATTGGATAAGAGGGAAGGTCTTCTCATAAATGAACTGGATGAAAAGATAGGAAACAGAGTAGGAATAAATAGTTTAAAAAATGGAGACAGTAAAACAACAGGTCCCCTGGCGATCTGTACTGAGACCAGTGCTGCTCAACATATTCATAAATGAACTAGAAAAAAAGAATATAAGGTGAGGTGGCAAAATGTATCAGTGATGCAAAACTACTCAAAATAGGTAAGTCCAAAGCAGAATGCAAAAAGTTAAAAGAGATTTCACAAACCTGGGTGACTGGGCAACAAAATTGCAGATTAAATAATGTTGGTAAAGGTAAATTAATAGATACTGAAAAACATAATCCTAACTATACATTCAAAATGATGGGATATAACTATGCTGCTATCACTCAAGAAAGATCTTGGAGTCACTGTGGATGGTTTTCAGCTCAATGTGAAGCGGCAGTCAAAATGTAAGGAGCCCATATGAAAGGGTTAGATAAGAAAAAACTTAATACCATAATGGCACTATATATGCCAAGTGGTACACTTCAGGAAGTTCTGTTTTCCCTTCTCAAAAAAAAAAAAAACCCACCATACACCCGATACATTAGAAATGGAAAAGATACAAGAAAAACAACAAACATGTTTAGGGATATGGAACAGTTTCTGTAAAATGTGAGATTAAAAAGTCTGGAAAAAAGACAACTAGTTCCAAACTGAATAAAAGGAGATATGATTGAGGTCTATAAAATCATGGGTGGTGAGGAGGAAGTCAATAGGAAAGTATTGTTTACCCCTTCATGTAACACAAGAAGCAGGGGCCACCAAATGAAGTTATACGCAGCAAGTTTAAAACAAAATGCAGGCAGTTTGTGGTTCTTATTGCCAGGGGATGTTATGAAGGCCAAAAGTATATATGCGTCCAAAAAAAGAACTAAATATGCTCATAGAAGATTGGTCCATCAATTGCTATTAGCTAAGATGGTCAGGGATGCAACTCCATGCTCTGAGTCACCCTAAGCCTCTGATTGCCAGATGCTGGGACAGGACAACAGGAAATGAATCCCTTGATGATCATCCTGTTCCAGTCATTCTTTTTAAAGCATCTGGTGCTGACCACATTCTGAAGACTGGATAGTGGGCTAAATGAACCATTAGTTTGACCCAACTGACCATTCTTATGCAATGGGTTCTAACTGAAGTGGACACATCTTGGTGGACATCTTCAAACATCTTGGTGGACAGTAAAATGAAAACTTGGTACTCAAAATTAAAAAAAAAAAGCCAATAAAATGTTAGCCTGCATAAAGAATGAGATAAACATTTAGATTCACTCAATTATGGGAGAAAATTGATTACAAATAGTGAATTAGGCAGAAAAAGAAAATAATATTTACGAAAAGGCTTCTGTAGTTACAAACCTTTGTCAAGGAAATTTTCATTGAAGAAAACCATATTGGGATTTAGATAATGTTTCCTTTTCTTCTCTGTACCACACAGCTTCTTCCAGTAAGAGACAGTAAAGGGGAAGTACCATGGCTTTCTGAACCCGAATCTTCCTAAATGTTAAATAAGAGCAACATCTGAAACATATTTTCAAAATGCATTTGTTGTTCAAGCACATAAAATAATCCTATTATCCTTCTCCCCCTCCCCCACAAAAGGAACAGGGATATAAAATCTCATCTATACTGTGTAGCAAAGATGCTGATAAAGCACTTTCTTTCCAAAGTATCTGAAAGTACTTTCCTCAGAAGGTAGCCATGTTAGTCGGTATCTGCAAAATCAATATCTAAGTGGTTTTTAAACACGAAAGCTTACATCCATATAAATCTGTTAGTCTTTAAGATGCCATAGACTTCTCATTGTGAAAGTACTTTGCAAACTTTGGGGCCAATCTGTCTATCATAGAAACCAAAAGAACTTTTGTCATGGAATTTGCCAGGGAAAAGGGCTCTCTCAGCATTATCCTGGCATTAGTGACAGAATCCTGACTATTGTAAATAAAGATTTTGACCCAGATCACAAGATAATCCTAGTGAGACTCAGTGAGTTGAGGTAAAGATATCAAGCTTTTTACCTGTTCTAATTCTGGCATAATTTAGCCATTGAGTCAGACCTTAGGACTGCCCTGTTTTGGGTCAGAGCCTTAGGGATGCCCTGATTTGTGACCCCAGCCAAGCAGGTGGCATTCTAGCCTCAAGAGATACCAAGGTTTTAGCAATATTTTGACCATGCCTGCTTTCTCCCAGCTTTGCTTCCTATAATATGAGAGGGAGAAACAATGCTGCACCGGCTGAATTGTACCCACAGATACTTCTCCCTACACAAGTGACAGATTTGTTACCTTTCCTAGTGCTTTGCACCATCTCAATGCAAACCAGCTAGCACAGAGGGCAGGCTCTGGCTTTGAAGTGTAGTACACTTACACAAAGGTGTAATAATGGCTGCATATACCACCTTAACATAGCCATTTCCTGACCTTTTCAGTGCTACACCTTGCATTCACTTAAATGTGGTTTTAGTATCTGTGGAATCACAGTACGTGGTACTGAATAGCAAGTGACACCCTCAATTTTTAAGTTAAAGATTTGTGGCTGGGATAGAGTTACATTATTGTATTCCCTTCTCTTTTCATGCCAAACATCTCAGTTATTCATTTTGAAATAAATACACAATAAACAAGAAAAAATGTGATATGCCAAGTTGAGCAGGTGTAAATTTCAGGCAATGAAAGAGGAGTTTAGAAAGCATTCCAAATGTCCCAACAACCAACTGAAGGGCATTAATTAAAAAACATTGGAGATTGGAGGAAAAACTAATATCCCACCTTTGGAAAATAAATTTGGGATTATATTAATTTCAGTTGTTACCTAGACTTACTGGTAGAGAGAAATGATAACCAGGGAGACAAATATTGTACTTTAGCATTCTGAAAATACATTGTTAAAAATCAACTTTAATAAAGGGGTCTGTTCCTGGCTCAGACAGAGCATCCAATAACTCAATATTGCACCGAAATCTGTCATTATAAAGTGTCTATCAGTCTCACAAGTCTTTATCCAATTATCTGTCTCCTTATTTACATAAACAAATAGATGTCATACCATATTACAATTCCAGCCCTCCAGTTAGCATGGTTCACTGACCTATGAATGCATGAATGTTTTTTTAGTTAGTCTCACTCCTATTTTGTCAGCTTTAACTCAGAGGCACCAAAGATTTAATATTTTTTATTATAATGTAATAGGAAAAAACCCAATATTAATAAATCTATGGGTGTTTGTTCTTACCAGGAATTACATTGCTGAAATACCAGCCAAGTAATAAATAGATTAGTGAGTCAAAGAAAATCATCCAGCAAGCCCATCCAAAGGTCATGGATTCTCCTTCTGCCAGTGGCTCATAGCTGTTACTCCACTGAATTCCTAGTAATAAAAAAAGGTCAGTGCTAAATCTGTAGAGCACCACAGGTAGCAGGATCATAAACACATCAACACAAAGCACTCAGGAGGTATTTGAGCATTGATGGACAAAAGAAACAATGTTAATAGCTGTAATTTTAACGGAATAAAAACTAAATGTTAGGCCTTTCAGTCTCTATTTGCAACAGCAGGTAATACTACTGCAGAGCAAATATGAAAGAATTCATGGTGGCACAGAGTTTTAAGAAGTTGACTATTTTTATTTTGGCTGTCCTTTCATTTTACTAAAAGGAAAAAAATAGGACCACTAGGCAAAATGCTGAATAAAATACATGAGAAGTTCTTTTTCAGCTGTTCAATAAGTCACACATTACGACAGTTTGCTGATACAAATAAAAAATGGTTTAAAGGAGATCTGCAGCAGATGTGTTTAGTTGAAACTTGCAAATCTTGACTAAATGCAGTTTATTATATACCATTTGTTTTATATCATGCCTGGCAGTAATAGCCAATGACTGGAGCACCAGACTCTAGTCATCTGAAAAACTACTTCAACCTGTGGTGGACTGCACACAATCCATCAGGGTTCTATGTGTGGCCTGCAAGACATTTTATTTACTATTACCCACATACAAAATTGCCTAATTCCACTGGTCTCTGTCCGTGTAGTTTTTTTCCCTACTGGTATTACTTAAGTGGCATACATGTAAACCAAGGACACATGAAGAAAGGTGCATATTGATTGCACAAAACACTGACTGTAAGAGCCATGTGCTCACTTTTTATCCAATCAAAATGCAGCTACAGTTCAATCGATACACCCTGCAAATTCTAGGTACACAAGTGCAGTCAACAAAACTAGCAGGTCCCAGAAGGCCATCTTGGTTACAACAATTTTGCAGCCCATAGAGATGAACGAGGGCCACTTGAGCAATACACTCACTAGCTTAGGTTGCCCATCACTACTTAAATTCGTAATCAATCAGGTATAGCAAAAATGGAAACACAAAATGCTAGCAGTGGTCAACATTCAAATGTAATACCATTACTTGTATTTCTGAATTGAAAAGTTATTTAGAAAACTAGATTATTATAAACTATAGCAATTTTCTTGATAATTTCTTATAAAGGTAGCTACGTAGTATGCAATAGAACGGCCAAAACATATTTTTACCCCGTAATTTTCTTGATAATTTCTTATAAAGGTAGCTACGTAGCGTGCAATAAAGCGGCCAAAACATATTTTTACCCCGTATGTGGGCAACGTTTCTTATTTACAAATTTCAATAAAATTAACCTTTTCACAGAAGCATACTTTTGTGTGTGGGGCAGGGGAAATCTAACAGCAGCTTTAGTTTGCAATAACTGCCACTTCTGATACGTCATCAGCTTTCTCTTAAGTAAAATACTCTTCATTAGCATGTGGTGCTTGAGATAACTTCCATTTTGACACCAAGACTGTCTTGCTGTTAACACCACCCAACTGAAGAAAAGATTCCATCCTGGATCAATCACCTGGTTCAAAACTCACACCTCTGGCTAAGCATTAGGGTGTTCCACTCACACACACATACAGCAAGAAAAAAAAGAAATGAGATTTTTAAAACCTGCTTGGATGATTTGGACATTCGGTTTCCATTTATGTTTGAAAATTTAATTGGTATCTTTTTTCCAACATATAAAAGCAATAAAATAGTGCCTGACCCCAGAATGTCTTATAAAGCAAAAAAACCTGCAGGTGGTTAAAATGACCTGCTATTCCACAAAATATTACAGCTTCTTAGGAATAACGTATATTCTGTAAAGCACACAGTAGTATGTAATCAGATGCATAATGCGTGATTCTGCACCTGAAATTAATGATAGCACTGATGCTGACTTTAGTGAGTTTTGGATTTGACACACATTAATATATTAATCTATCTGACAATTATATTTTGCATCAATATTCTTCAGTAAAGAATTTATTTTAGGCTGAAACATGGGCATTACTATTAGCAAGTAGAAACAAATACAGTTTTGAAAATTATATCTTTGGCAATGTACTCATCTATAAAAGGTTCTTAATAAAAGTTTATTAATAGAAGTTTCTTAACATTAATATAGTCTTATTTTCCCAAAAATTCAACATATTTGAATTATAGATTGAAAATGGTATAGAATGATATAAATCCAATCTATATGAAAAAATAAAGGAAAATAATATCTGAAAGTATCATTCAGGAGAAACTTATCTAGTGCCCAAAGGTAAATCAGAAGAAGAACTGCTTTTTATGGAGACATAAATTAAAATGCAAAGTCAATATGGAATCTCCTCTATACTTCATAGCATTTGACTTCCACAAATCCACCAGCAGGATACTGAGAGGCAACATATTACACCAGTAAAACACAACAGGCTAGCTCTTCAGGCAGGGTATATCAGCACAGCTACACTGAATTTGATCTAGCACCAGATCTGGATCTTCATCATCAGATACTCTCACTGGCTGACTATACCCTAAGAACAACACATTGCCATCTACTGTAGTAACTTCTGAGTCAATTAAATCTTTCGTGCATGTCACATACACTACAAAATATCAGCAATGTTAGTGGTGTGGCTGGGGCTTCCTTGCACCCTGCATTACCAGCTTCTCGGGTGGGAGGGAAGAGGGGGCTCACTGGCAACTGCCATAATTTAGAGCAGCATTAACGCTTTTATAATTTACTGAAGAAGACCAATATCTCTGACCTGGCCTGGAATTCCTGAAACACAAAGGTGGCTTAAAGCTTCATCTACATTCTTCTATGTCTGACTTGTGGTTGGGGACCAGAGATTCTACAAAGTTTCACTTTCAAAACAAAGCAAGTGAAATCAGTTTCCAAGTTTAGTTTTATAACCATGATCATTAAAAAAAACGTTTTGCTAATTAGCAATCTTACCTATTCCTTGGCTTTCAAAGAATGTAATGAAAAATAATCCTTGCCCAAAGGCAGTTGTAGAGAGAAAGCACTGCAACAATAGAAAAGAAACAGGAAATGAACATAAATACATCTCCATTAAGATATTGTGTGATATAACTATTGCACAATTCAGTGCAAATGGAGAAACAATGGATCTTTCAGTTTTAGAAAGGCTAACGATCCTCTCTTTCACTTACCTTTCTAAACCTGAACAATATTTACTTGTATTTTGCTAAAATGTGCTCTCTAAATTAAAGATTATTATGGAGCTTGTTATTAATATTTGAAAGCATTATTTGACATTACCAAAATTTATAAAGCTTCATAAATCCTCCATATATTGCAAATATATAATGTATAACATTGGCTAATGTAATATATTTTTGGTAGTAAGTGAATGACCCTAGAATTCACATGATGGAACATACATTATATAATACACTGAGCAGGTATTCTATTGCAAGGAAATAACATTTTATTTCCAATAGAGCAATATAAATTGGACCATATTGCATCAGAAAAGCACAAAAAAATGGAAAACGGCTAACTTCAGGGATGTAATGTAACAAGGATGGAAGAATTATAGTAAATGGAAAATCACTAACCAGCATCAAAAGGTAATAAATCATTACTAACTACTGATAAAAATACAAGCATTGTCATCTGAAAAAGTTCTATACAGTAGTTTGAAAGTCAGTTTTTAGAGACATAGTTTAAAGTAACTACGGTAAGATCCACAATTTGATCTGAGGAAGTGGGTCTGGCCCACGAAAGCTCATCACCTAATAAACCATCTTGTTAGTCTTTAAAGTGCTACATAATCCTGTTTTTTGTTTCAGCTAGACCAGACTAACACGGCTACATCTCTATTACTACGGTAAGTTTAATATGTTTTGCAGTGTTCAAAACAGTAAAGCAAAATTCTCCCAGGTTACTGGAAAAAAAAATAGTGTCTCTCTCCTCTCTCTCAACTCCCTCCCCATAACACACACACATACACATACAAACACACTCTTCCCCATAACACACACACACACACACATACAAACACACTCCCTCCCTCCTACAGATATAGGCTCCTGGTCATGCAAAGGCTAATATAAATGCTTATCTTTACACTTTTGGATAGTTCCATTGGGTTAAAATGAGCACATAGATAAGTATCTGCAGGAAGAGAGCACACAATGTACAAAGTGTACTTAAATTTACAAATGTATTTCTATTATAGCAGTGGCTGGAGGCCCTGAGAAAGAACCATTCTAATCTAAACTATCCGATTAGCAAAAGCTTATCAGATAGTTGACACACTAGTCGACTAGTTGCTTCCTCCCACCTTGCTGCCTCTATTAGAAAGATGCAGCAAGGAGGAGGGGGGAAAGGAGAAGATACTTCAAGATGGCAGTACAGTGTGGAGCCTGGGGTTTGCCTCTTTGAAACTCTGCATGCAGCCTGGGGCCAGCTGGGGACTGGACTCGCAGCTGGCCCCAATCTGCACACAGTGTTTCAAAGCAGCAGTACTGACCCTGGGCTGCATGGAGCACTGCCGCTTTGAAACTCCGCAGGGAGCACAAGGCCAGCTCCGTGCTCCCTGCAGCACTTTCGCCTTTGAAGTGTAGCAACAGCCTTGGGGCTATTGCTACACTTCAAAGACGAAGGTGCGCATATCGACTAATCAAATAGTCAATGCAAATTGCATCAACTATTCAATTAGCCAGTTAATCAAAATTTAACATCCCTAATTTTAGCAGGTGCAAAAACAAAAACAATCTCTGTCCTAAGAGCTTATGAGGTTCAGAGGGTAGCCAAGTTAGTCTGTGACAGAAAAAAACCAGCAAGCAAATGGTCTGGTAGCACTTTATAGACTAACAAAAAGTTAGTTACCAGACCATTTGCCTGCTGTTTTTTTTCTAAGAGCTTATGTCATTCACATATAGCGAGAAGACACTTGGATAATACAGGAACAATATATGGGAAGAGGGAGAAGATAAACAGTGAAAAAGAGGTAGCTTGTGCATCCTACCCCATGGAAACATGGGTCTAGAATGACTGCTACTTGCTGTCTGACCAAGGACCTGATCTAATTCCCATTGTAATCAACAATAATCTTAGAACTCATCATTCAGATTCTGACTAGGTAAATATGTACTCAGCAGGGTATGGGTTACATGCATGCAGCTGGTAGCTCTATGTGTAGTAAATACGAATGTGCTATTCAACTGTAAACATTAATTATCACATTTCTGGTTTGTTTTGTCCTATTTGCAGTATCACTTAGATTGTTTAATTCTGTATATAATGCTTAATTTTTGCAGGTACGAAATTAAGAGGATATTAATTGTGGGTAAAATTAAAATTAAAGTGGTATTAATATTAAAAATGATTAAAATATATTAAAATTCTAAAGTCCTTTTAAAAAGTTTTATTTTGACACAAAGCCCTAAACATATTTAAGAAAGTGCAACCTTTGCATAAGCCATTTTACTTGTATTCTTGTATTAATGTTCAAGAAATTTGCAGGCATAAATTATGTTATTCCTAATGAAAGTTAAGGAACCTTTCTGTCTCCACCGGACCTCAACTGAATAACAACAGACTCATGCTTGGACACACTCTTGCTGTATTTACAGACATAGCACCAATTCCCTTCACTTTATGGATTCATTTATTTCACTGTTGAAATACAATACTGTTTAGTTTTATATTATATTATATTACATTACAAGCTGGTCCCCGAGTTGCGAATGGTCAACTTACGACCATTCGCAGTTATGACCAAAGCTGTCGTAAATGGCGGACCCCGAGTTATGAACACGATCCGTGCTTACAAATAGCGCGGTCGCGTGTAACTCAATGGGGTCCGACTTACGAACAAACCGAGAGGGGGGGAGCCATATATTTACAAATGTGGTTCGTTTTATTGTATTCTATTGCCTTAAAATAAACACATATATAAGTCTTTGCAGAAAGACTGCACATAATGTACAAAGTGTACTTAAATATATGTATGTCTATATTTTTCCTCTCTGAAGGGGATTAGGTATATCAAATTGAAAAGAGGAATCCTAAAAGATAATTGTCCTCATAGGATTTGTTTGCTTGTTTGTTTTTCTTGAACAAAGACTTACAATTGGAAGGGGGTCAGGTGAGCTAACAAAGCTATAATCCTGACTTGACAGTACCTCCAGAATAAGGAATACTGATGCTAAGAATACAGCATTCAGGGGAATAAACATTGCTTAGATCAGATCTTATCAGAGAGTTAATGTGACAAAAGAAGGATGCTTTGCAGCACACAGTGAAACCCAAAGTGAAAAATACCACTTAGAAACTATAAACAGAAAATCTGGTAAACTAGTTCATGGATAGTTGTTTGAATTGTAATTCATATTCTAGACCAGTGGACAAAAAAAAAGAAAGAAATTATGAAACTTTATTATCAGTAGTGGAAATTTTAAAGGAAATCACATTCCTTTCCCCATACTCTCTACAAAGAGCAGGACGTGCAGCGTGCATTCTTCCAGATCTGTTTGTTTTGCAATGGTATTTTAAACAAAGGAACAATTTCTACAGTTCACTGGTAAATTTTATACTGATTTTTCCTGCCCAGATAACCACTACCATATGGATGTCATCTACTGTTTGAGAGAACACTAATTTTCCAAACTTTTAGTGAAAAGAAGTCTGCAAGACTATCTTTTACTTTTAGGCATGCTGCATTGGAAATATTGAGCCTTAGCTTTCCAGAGGGTTCTCTCAATTTCATTGAACATTCATTTTAGATTCCCCTCTGTTGTATTTTAAGCTGGATTTCTCAACTGCTTTTCTGTCTAGGAAAGCCATACAATTACAGAGAGGTACAACAGCAAAGCAGGAACCTCTGGACAAGATAATGAGAGGATATCCTAAAGGTCACATAATTATGGAAATAAATCAATCAAGCAACAATTTTTTAAAAAAAGAAAGAAATACTTACTGCAATGGTCTGGTGGGCAAAGCTGAGTTGGTTCTGCAGAACCAACAAAACTATGTATGGTAAAAAGCTGATCATATATATGAGGCTGGCACAGAGCGCTGCTGTATCGGCACTGCTAAAAAATGCACTGAACAGGTAGCATAGCATAACCACTGCAATTCCAAAGTCGAGTAGAAAGAGGAAGACTAGAAAGCCATCGCTGAATGCAAAGATGCCGCTCACTTTTAAAATGATGACCAGAGCGCAACTGCTTAGTGTGAGCATAATGACATTCTCCAGAAACCAAGCTAAGAAGTGAATGACAGGATTCACACCCATTGTCTTCATATACTACAAGAAGAGAGAGACTTAGTCACAATTTAAAAAAATAAATAACCATCAACAGACATGCATTGGCCTACCAAGTGACTGTATAATCATAGTATCCTTACCCCTGTGTTATATTTTTCCCACTCTCTCATCACATGCTGGTAAGCTAAGATGAGAGCAACTGAAGGAGGTAAGGCCCAACCCTGTAGGTACTTGCTTCTGAGTAGAATGCATATGAGTTACCCTATTGACTTCAAAAAGACTATGCATATTCATGAGCAAGTGTTTGCTGGATCAGACGCATAGATTGTAACTTCTTGGATATAGAATCCACTTTTATCACTTCTTTCAAGCAATGGGCACATTTATGTTACTAATATTTAAAAAACAGCAGTAATACAAAAGCACTATAACCATAAAAATAATGCAAGGCTCTGAATGATTATCAAAGACAGATTATAAATGCTCTGAGAAAAATGAGAATATTGTAAAAACATGAAACACTTTCTGTCCTTTATTTTTGTTGGGTTGTTTTGCTGAACGTAAGGCTGGTTCTGAAGAGAAATTGTTCTATTTCCCACTCATGTGAATTTGGAGAAATTTACAATTTTGCCTATTGCAAAATTTTGCAAAGGAAATAGGAAAAAGGGACACATTTTAATCATGAACCAAACTTCTGAATACATTTGTAAAACTCCCAGATTTAACATTGCTCATATGACCAGAAATAATTGTCACATCACATGAGACCACCTTTCTTAAAAATACTTTTTAGAATTGTAAGACACCATTTCTTGAGTGCTTTCCCAAAAGTCACCTTACCAACACTGGTGAGTTAATACTCAAACGCCTTTGCAGATCACATAAGCACTACTTTGCACATTAGAAACCAAAATCTAGACAGTTTATATGATTTGCTCTAGTCAAGCAGGAAGACACCAGCAAAACCAAGAATAGCATTTGAATTCTTGTGGGGTAAGTGCTGTTATATCCACTCCTAAAATACGAAGCTTTATGGTCTCAATTGTGAAAAATGCTGAGCACCAACTAAGTGCCATAAACTTGCCTTTAACTTCAACAGTAGCTGTGATTATGTATCTATGTAACTGTTATGCCCTTGTATTCTCTGTGTACTTTCAACACCTAAAGACTAAAATTCTCAGCATTTTTACTCAGTTCAGAGTACTTCAAGGAGACCCTACTTTTCTTGTTTTGTTGTTGTCCTAATCTAAAATAAAGGTCATGTTGAAAGAAACTATGTGGTTGCTCTTTGAGGCTGGATAAACATAACAGCAATTGAAGTCATTCAGCACCATGGAAGATTGGGATCTCTATCTGCAAGACTTGTTTCAAAGAAAAGTGCTCAGCTTTAAATTTCATATTTCTGTCATTCACTGTTCTCCTTCATTTCTACAGAGATAAATCTCTAAAGACCAATGGAACTCCAAGCAATATCCCAGTGAATCTAATTTGGCAGTTGGAACTCAGATAAAGAGCCCAGGAGAGAGTGAAAGACAAAGCACATGCATTATTATCCACAAAACTATCTCTCTCAATGTTTAATATGTATTTTCAGAACAGACCCTATAAACCAGTTTCACTGTGAAAGGCTCAGCTAACTATTACCTCTTCAAGACGAATTTCCCTCTCATAAACCAGTTTTCGAACCATCCCAGCAACAGATACCATCCATGTTAACATCATTATGAATGGAAAAAAGAAACCAATATTGTTCAAGAATCTGTAAGCAAAAATATAGACGTAAGACACAAAAGAGAAAGATATAGAAGTATTAAATTAATGTTTTAATATTCAGAAAATATTACTGTAGTCCCCTTACTAAAGGTGCCTCTGCTTATTTTCTGGAAAGACCCTGTGTTCTGCAATCCAGACACTCAGACAACAATTCCCATGAGCCCTTAGGAAAAACAGGAAAGAAGTGACCCTTGTGTGGGAGATCTGAGTTTCTCCATGTGCATGAGAAGAGAGGACTAGCAGTCTGGGACTCTGCCCTTGGATTGTGAAAGAGAAGGGGAGCCAGGCTGCTGTGGAGGAGTTTGATCCAGTCCAGGGGCTGTTGGAGTGCAGCTGCAGACTGGGACTAGATGCCTTTGGAACTAGGATCTAGCAGGCTGCTTCTGATAGGCACAGCATGAGGCTGTAAGTAATTGGGCCTTTTTGGAAAAAGTGCTGCCTGGGACAGAGCTGCTGCCTAGCTTGGATCTTCAGACACACTTTCTACAGAGAAGCTCCACTGCAGCTGCAGTTCTTCGAGCGCATCCATGCAAGCAAGAGTCTGGGACTCTGAGTCCAGGGGTGTGCACACTGGGGTGGGATAAATATTGGCAGCTTGATAAGTTCATTTTTCTTCTGTGTACTTTGTTAATTAATGTTATTCACTGTTAATTTGTTAAATCCTGTTTCTTTAAGTTAAGTAAAGGTTGTTCATTCTAATGTAATCTATTAGATGTTTATGATTTGTAGTAGTTGTTCTGGAATTAGATCCAGATTATAGCTGGAATGAATATATTCCTAGAGGCTCTCATGGCACACCATAAGTATATTACAGAGCCAGCCAGGTGGAGGCACCTCCATTGTATGTTCATTTTGAGCAAGGGACTGCAGCAAGGGGATGGATAGGGCTTTCCCCAACTAAACGCCATCACCAGTGGGGTGCTCAGGATCTCCTTTTGGGTTAAAACCATCAGGCGCCCAGGCACACCTGTGAGTGTAACCTGCTCCCGAGTAACCCGGGGAGGAAAAAGGGGATTACATTACAATATATAAAACAATTCTTGAGGTTGTGATTTCTTTGTCGTTACTAATTAAACATACCCACTATAATTTAATGGTAGAACACAAGATCATTGGAACATGTAAAGTTTATCTCTAAAACAATGACACTCCATTTATACTGAAAAGGAATAAAAGTCTCAAACGATTTTAATGGTTTGCAAGGAGCTAACTGCAAATAAAGATATTTGGAATGCCTGTTATACTTCCTAGGCAAATTTTCCCCAGTGTGCATGGCTTTATTCCAGTCATTCAATTTTATCTTTCGCATGTATAAACTAAACCCTAAGGCTATGTCTAGACTACATTTTTTAAGAGGATATGCAAATTCCATTGAAATCTGCATATCTTCTGCTGATCTCACTTTCGAAAGACGCTCTTTCGAAAGTGAACATACTCCTGATCTCACTTTCGAAAGACGCTCTTTCGAAAGTGAACGTACTCTGGACGCATTTTTTTCAGAAAAAAAACCCTTTTTCTAAAAAAACCACTCTTCCTTAAAAAATAAGGGTTAACGTGGTTCTTTTGAAAAAGATCCTCTTTCAAAAGTGAGATCCTCTTTTGAAAAAAAATCCCGTAGTTTAGATGTACCCTAAGGGTGAGTCTGTTCTTCAACATTACCTTGAAACATGCTACGCAATTTGCGCTACACACATCCTATAGCTTATTTCAGAGTAGCTACGCAATTTGCGCTACACACATCCTATAGCTTATTTCAGGGTAATTTTGAAATAAAGCTCTATTCCAAAACATCCCTTAATGCTCATGGAATGAGGGTTACAGGGATGCCAGAATAGCACACCCATTATTTTGAAATCTATTTTGAAATAATGGGCTGCTTTTAATGACGTGGAATGGCTATTTCGGAATAGTTCTGGTATCCCAAAATAACTGCACAGTGTAGCCTAAATTCCCACCGCAAACCAGTCTTTGCTATCCATAGCAGAAGGAGAAACATACAGGAGCTGATGTCTGCTGCCCAATCTCTGAGCTATTTCTAACTCCAGCCCTAATGTAGCTTGGAACATCTTTGGAGCTCCTGTAAAGTGCATGTGCTGATAAGAGTTCCCAAAGAGAGCTGTCTGCCAGATAGGAATTGCACAGTGAGCTTTTACCATGTCCTCTTCTCCCCATAGCCCTTCTGCCAAAAATGGCAGAATGAGATACATAGGGCCCAACCACATTGGTTCTTGCTAGTGGTGCAATCCCCAGATAGGGAAATCTGTCAGCTTTTCAGATCCTTGGTATAGCTTGTCCAGATCACAGACACACTATTAAAAGTGCCAAATTAGGTTCAAAATGTAGGCATTTACTTACAGGTCACTGGTATGGCATGGATATGGCATAGCTTGAACTTGTATTTCTGGCTTGGAAGCATCTGCTCCAGTGTGCACTGCAACAATGGCTCTTTCAATCATATCTTGAAGTGGAATGAAGATGTGATTGTATTTGAACACATCACCTGGCAGGTGCTGGGGATGGGATTTCCACATTGGGTTTTTTACTAGATCTGTTCTCATGCTGTAAAGAACATTAGTTCTAATTGTATATGAAATGTGCGGTGGGAGATAGTTAGCAAAATCGCGCCGATGTCTCCCATTACTTGAGGTGTTGAATATAATACCTGGTAAAACAAAAGAAAAAAAACCAAGGAGTTTAATGAATTGGAAACCAGACTGTGAATAACTGATTTTTCATCACTTTCCATTCTAAACAAAATATTAAAAATTGTTTTTGAACAAAAACAATTTGCAAACCAAACAGTTAAAAAATCATTTCAGGTCAAACAAAACATTTGTGTTTAAACTTTTTATTTAAATATATTTTAAGTTTATTTCTAAACAGAAAGTTGTTCTAAATCAAATACCAAAACATTTCATTCTGAAGAAGTCAACATAAAACATCAATGTTTTCAGTTTTTTAAACCATGTAACACATATTTGCAAAACGTTTCAAACAACAAGAATTTGCTTTTTAGGAAAATATCATTTATCTGAAGAATTGTATCCAACTGTAATTATAAATGAGGCAGATTTCATATTTCTGCCTTTTGTGTGTCCTGCGTCTTGTGTTTCTGTGAGGATGCAGTCAAATTGTGCCAATGAATAGTCATTCCTGGAATTTCTGAAGGCCACTTAACCATTTTCAAAAAGGCCATATTGTCTTCTTGTACCGAATGTGAATGCATATTTTATCTGAAATAGCTAGATGGTTAAACGCTGTTGTTACAGCACTTCCTTGTACTATAAGCCTTAGATTCATGCTGATGGGATTCCAGCAAAAAACATGAAATCTTTCATATCTTTATTCACCACTGTCTGTATTTGTAGTTACCTTATGACACTTAACTGTTACAGTTAAGACAGTCAATGAGCTTGATATTCCATCTCAGTAGGCCTTCTATAATTATTCTCTTTTCTGTGAGACTGAACAAAATCTTAAGAAAATCTTCCTTGCCTTGTATTTAGTGCTCTGGAACTTGTTCTCCAGACTTGCTTTGTTTTTAATTAAAATGTTCCCATTACTGGGCCAAAATCATGCAACACTTTCAATGAATTTGGCCATCTAAGGCCTGGCATATGTTTAAAAATTAGATAGACTGCTATGTCATTCATATATATGAAAAAATTTGCACCCTGTGCAACCTACATCAGCTAACCCCTCTCCTCCCCCCCCCCCCATTTCCCAGGATAGATGTAGCTAGGTAAATGAAAGATTTCTTCGGTTGACCTACATACAGCCTCTCTGGAAGTACCCTTCCCATTGATTTAGGAAGCACCTATAGGTGACCTTCAACTTGAAACCACCTGACTTACGACCCCCTGCATTTACAACCATTTTTTTCATGCAAGAGAGCTCCTAAAACCCCACAATTTATGTCCGCAGCTCACATTTACGATGGCGTATGACGCAGACTCCACGTATCATCCCAAAACAGGAAATGTACGAAGTCAGTCACTCGCCAGTCTGCAGCTGCACACGTCGATGCCACATAGGTCTTTACTTTTTAGTTATTTTTGTACATTATTTGAACTATTTAGCTTAGTTCCTTCAGCTTAGGAACTATTTTCCTCCATTTCCATGGTAAATTTTGGTATTTTTAGGGTATGAAATGGATTTCCAGGAACGGAACTGCCATTTATAACATTGCTCCTATAGGAAATAAGGGTTCGACTTACGATGGCTCAACTTATGAATCTTTTCCAGGAACCAATTAGGTTGTAAGTGCGGGGTCACCTGTACACTACTGCACTACAGCAGCACAGTTGTAGCATTATTGCCATGTCACTGTAGTATAAACAAAACCTGGGAATAATATTTTCTAGACCAACGGGTATTCTGAGGTTAATTTTAATCCCTTCATCCTGAATTTCAGGCAAAGAACATATAGAATAATTTGCCGTGCCATCATGGCATTTGTCATAATCCATATTTTAGAGCGCCCTCTGGGTGTGCCTACACAATAAGGCATTTCAGAATAATGGCCGCTATTCTGAAATAACTACGTGAGCGTCTACACAACAATTCCATTATTTTGAAATAATTTCGAAATAACGGACGGCTTATTCCAACTTCTGTAAACCTCATTTTATGAAGAATAATGCCTAGTCCAAAATAGGTATTTCAAAATAAGGTGTTTGTAGATGTTCCACTTCTGCTATTTCAAAATAGCCCCTCACCAGGGCCATTCTAAATGATTCCTCCTGGAGTTCTAAATCAAGATAGCACGTCTACATTAGGGAAGCCTGCCTCGGACTAATTTTGTGGCTTCCATGCAGTGTAGATGTGAGATTGTGAAATAATTATCCCAGAGCTAATTCCAAAATAACTGTGCAGTGTAGACATAGCTTCTGTGTAACGGGCACAGGTCAACCCTCTTCCTGAAACAGGAAAGAAAGTCAGAGTACCAATAGATGAGACTCCTCTGATCTCTATTACTCTGCTATACTTTCTTTCTTGAGTAAAAGAAATAGTTGCACTTGCCTTTTAAAAGCTGTGCTGAGGTATCTTTCTTGAGTAAAAGAAATAGTTGCACTTGTCTTCTTTTAAAAGCTGTGCTGAGGTTTACAAACCATACGGTAAGCAATAAGAGGTTAAGGAGCTGCTCTGGTGCTAATCCAGCCCTGCCTCTCTTGGGGACAGGCTTTTATCAAAAACTCCCACATGGCAGGTTAAAGGCCTACGTCCCTGACCACTACACTACACTCCATGGGACAAAGACTATAAAAAAAGGACAGAAAGGAACATTAAGCTCTTTTTCATGTATTTGATCCCTAGAAAAATAAATATTTTCCAAACATTTAGTTTCTGCTATGCAATTTTTTTCAACTAACCAAAGGCTAATTAGCCAAAACACAGAGATTTGACTCTCCCCTAAATGTGCAAATATATTTCTAAGAGGATTTTGAAGATGCCAGCACACCCTTCAAAGAGTAGTTTATGAAATCAAGGAAAATTAACCTTCAGAGACCCACCTTTCAGTGGAAAGGAACGTATGATTGCATTCATTGCAGTAGCAGGGATGTTTTCTCATTATACCCACTTCAGATCCCTTATACAACACTTACTTCAATATTTTAAGTACATTTTCAGGGCATTTGTAGCTTAGTTCTTTGAAAGTAAAGAGTAGAGATTACAAAATTCTGTATTGCTCAAGATAACTTCCTGCCTGGCTTTTAAATAGGTGTACGTTAGGGGGAGGACACAAAGTGTCTCCTCCCACCTCTATCTGCAAAGCATTTCAGAGCCAAGCAGAATTACTTACTACAGTTCTCCTCCAGGTTTTTCTGTGGGATGGGGCAATAACTTCCAGACAGGTTATGTAACATGTTAAATCACAGCATTTTATTGATGGCAGAACTTGAATAGACCCAGATCTTTTGAGTACTTGCCTTGTATTTTAATTAATCTCAACATATGCCTCTGCTTTGCCCTGACTTTTTTAAAAACTCCCCCGAGCCCTAGGGTCTTCTGTGCTGAACTTAACCAAATTTAGAAATTAAACATAAAAAATGGCTAAAATCCTAGCTCCATTGAAGTCACTAGCAAAACACTTATTGATTTCTGTACGGCTAGAATTTCACCCTCTTCTCCAGGGAGGGCTACATAGGAGGATGGAAAACCTCAGACAGGGAAAATAATTTTTTACAGTGCTGAATGACTGTTCTTTTGCTTCCTCTTATAGCTGTCTCAGCACCAAAAAAAAAGATTTCCAGCAGCAGAAGAGGCATTTTAAGGTAGCGGGGTAGAGACTGTCATCCCAGTGAGCAAAAGCAATAGCAGAAATTACTGAGAAATTAACTTTATTCTGAGTAAATGAGCTGATTTGAAAGTTATCTTCTTAGGCAAACAGGTTTTTACAAAGATTAATTTGTTTTTTGTGTTCTACAACCCCAAAGGGTATGAAATTTAAAATCAGAGGTGAATAAAGCAGAGGGTGCGCTTATAAAACAACAAAGTAACCTCGCTTGGATATTTTGTTGTCAAACTTTTGCATTCTGTGGCCTCATTTGACTCTCACTATATGATATTAGTATCTGTTGTTCCTGGTATAATATTTTTAGGAACAACTGACTCCCAGAGACTTGGTTAGTAGTCATTCTTCGGCTATAATAGCAATATCACTAGTTCTTATTGCTTGCATTACAGTGTTCAAGAATCAGGGGAATGTTTTTATTCAGCAAATATGCCTTTTTACTGTGTTTGTACTGTGTGTGATTTCTCTATGTTTCCTCAGTGCCAACTCACTGAAGCATCTTGGTAAGAGGGAATGATAGTTTTATGAAGCAGGGGTTTCTTGTCATCTTATATTTTAAATGAAATACTTACTAGCCAATAAATTGTTTTGTTGCATGAGCTCTTGTGCCTTTGTCTCCAATTTCTCCGCCGACTCAAGATGCTCAAAGCGATCCAATAAAACACAGGAGGAGATATTTACCATGAGCTGTGCCAACAGGTTGATTTGCTCTGTGGCTGAATTGTTCATCATTTCCCCCATCAAAGGCTCTGAAAAGGAGTTAACACATTGGAAACTATCATTTTAGAGTGAGATTTTCAGAAGTTCCTAGCAAACCAAAGAGCACATGTACAACTTTGTAGGACTATGCTCTTAAATCCCATAGATGCATACAAAATTTTCTCCTCCCTTCATATTCCATTTTAGTGCAGTTCGAACACTTTGGGTATCCCAATTTTGGAAAGAAGATCATGCATATCAGATAAAAGAACAGTGAATTTTATGGGCCAGATTCATTGCTATGAGTACCAATTCCCTCCTTGGCCCTTGTGAGGGCAGCTGAACAGGAGAGTGATTCTACTCTTTGAAAAAGAGGAAGAGATTCCATCAGATAAAAAGAGCAGATTTGAAGTCCACACATAACTTCATAAGAGCATAGGGCAGGAGCTGTCCAGACAAGGCCTGTCCTCCACTTCCAACTTGAGCCCAGTTCCAAAACTTGCCCTTTGTGTAACTAGGTATCCTTCATCAGGCACTTCTGTGAGGAGGACAGGTGAAAGGAGTGGGTCTGCCTGGAAGCAGGCTTGTACTCCCTTTTTAGAGTACTCAGTGGAAAGAACAGCCTGCTTTGATTCTGCAGCATTTTCTGCCACTATTTTATCTAACTTTTCTCCAAAGAGGAGGGATCATGTGAACTTAGAAAAGCATAGAACTTGTTTAGAGTCAGCAACTACCTTTCAGGGACAAAAGCACATATGCCTCCTGGCTATTGAAGTGGATGTTGTGATGGATGGGAGGGATAATACCCTTTTCTGGACATTCCAGCCATTCAGTTAACTAAACTCTTTTCATAGCAGTTAACTCTTGAAACCTAACCCTAATTGTCTTGCCTGGAAGGGTTAAAACCATGGACAATGAGTCCTAGAGTCTTAGGGAGCAGGAAGTGAGTTGGCAGGAGGGCAGGAGAACCAATGGTAATGAAGTGTGGGGTTTTGAATTGGAAACAGTGACCTTCCTGTTCCCATTTTTGTGTGACCAGAGCACAACTGGACTGACATGAATTATGCCAGGAAGCAAGGCATGGAATATCCAGCACAATCCATGCCTGGAGCAGGAATAAACCTTGGAACTACAGATATTTAAGTAGAACAGGGAATGTTTAGTCAGACGCTATCAGGTTATTTTCAGATTTGTTGGACTTCTCTTATGGAGCACATGTAACTATCCCCTACACTGTAACTTTCCAAACTGAAGTCCAAGGAAGCAATTCTTGGTGTTTTAATCCTTTATTTATTGATTTAAATGTATTTATGTATGTATTTAAATTTAGTTAGCTGCTCATTAACAGCTAGCAACCAAGTAATGTTTCACCAAGTATCTTTTCTTTGTTTTGCTCTGCCAAATAGAGGACAGAGGAATTCAACAGAGATATACTGCAGAAGAGGTTCTGGGAAGTTGTAACCACAACACCACTGAACAAACCCTGTACAGGAAAGGAGGCTTGGAACAAAGTATGCTACTCCCTAGAAATGGTTAAAAAGTAATAAAGACAAAAGGAAAGGGTGGGAGCCAATGAACTGCCATTTGTCTGCCGCTATGGAAGCAGAAGAGGCGGCAGCACACATGAGAAGGGGGGTTAGCCAACACTCACTATGCTGCAGATCATACCACTTCTAGAAACTGCAGAGAGGATGGGAGTAGCTCATTTGTAACAGAATCATGGGAGACACTGGGCTGCAGAGATCCTTGCTTTGGCAGCCCTCCAAGCATTAGTGATGTTTGGATCTGGAACTTCGTGGCTAGCCCCTCTCTACAAATGATCATCCATCAAACTCAGGACTATGAATCTTTGGAGGAGTTAATGCAATTTTTTTGCTTTGTATTGTGCTAATCATATTGGGGAGAATAATTCCAACAATGTGTTTACAGAACAAACCCATTATAACATAAAACAATTCTAACTGCATTTGGTTGAACAGAAACTTGTGAGGAAAGTGCACCAGACCCACAAAACTAGCTGATCTCCCAGTGAACGATTATTCACACTTGAGGAGTGAATAATAGCTATTGGGAGATCCAATATGAGCTTTCAGCGTCTTAAATTTCTTTAAAAATATTGAATGTTTAACCCTAAACACTAGATGATGAGTTAACTTGGTAAGAGTGCTCATTAGCCTAATATTGGGATTCATTGATGGCACAGCAGGTATTGCAAGGGGAAGGTAGAGAATAAAAAATGAACTTAATTGATCTGGATGGAAGGCAGCACTGGTGAAGAAGAAGGGAAGAATAAAAGATCAGGAAGATAAGCAGTTGTGCAATGAGACAGTGAAACTGGTGTACTAAGAATCAGAAGGCATGCAGCATCAATGTGATGCATTCTGAAGGAAAATAAACAATGGAACAGGGGCGGGGACACCATACAAATATCTACTGTTGTTCCTAATGTGAAGGCATTATTGTTTGATTTTGTAACATCCCAGGGGCTAGAATATTCTTAATACTAGTAACTTAGTACTAACAAGGTTAATCATACATACATGTCACCAGAGATTCCTCCCAGCTGATCTTTAGAAGACCTTATTTTGAATAATACATAAATTTTTAAAATGCTCTCTTACAACTTAATCCTTTAAATATTTGAGCATGAGAAATATCAACTGACTTGCTGTATGCTTGGAATACTGCATAATTAAATGTTTCCGTAAGTAAAAGCAATATTTCATAGGCTACATAACTTACATGGAACTAACACATCTAAATATATAAAAAAGTAAAATCCTTGGGGGAGTTTCAGAACTTATTTAATAAAATATCCTCACCTGCATTTTCCTTCAGATAATACAATGATACTAAGGCAGCAATGATACTAAGGCAGCAATCTTTGCACAGCTATTTCTGTTACTTACTTTCTGCTTTGTTACTTATCTTAGACCCAGTCCTGACTTGATTTTCAATGACTTCACTGAAGTAGAAGACATTTAGCATCTCCGAGGAGGCACACAGAACCTTGCAGAGTCCAGTATCTTTTCTGCATATTCCTATGCAGAATCAAATGCTCAAGAAAGACTAAGGTTCTCATCCCATAGAGCAGGTTGAGAATTTTTCAGTGAAACTTCCGGTTGTCAGAAAAAGCTGATTCACTGAAACAATATCTTGGGTACATATTGAAATTCTCGCTCTTTGGTTATGAACAAAAGATATAATCCCCCTCTTCCACCAAGAATGGTCCAAAGGTTAAGGCCCAAACCTGGATCAAGCCCCTGCTCCAGCCAATCAGATTTGAATGTCCCACCTGAAAGGTAAGTGCACTAACCACCACATTACACAGTCTCTTCCTCTCTGACCCATTGAAGATGGATCGGCCCCAACTAGTAAAACTGAATGAATGACTCCAAATCAGGCAGAGCAGGCCCTTGAACCTGGGTTGCCTGCATGAGAGATAAGTGCTTTGACCATCAAGCTACTGACTATTCTGTAGCACTCATGTTTTTACATGAAATATTTCAAAATGTCTCATTTTCATTCCAATGTGGAATAGAAACAAATTTCAGACCCTGAGTTTTTTCGTGAAATAGAATTTGCTACTCTCATTTGGATCAACAAAAGTTGTAAGGATCAGGCCCATAAGGTGAGAAAGAAGGGTATTCACATGATTTATAAAATAAGGGAATTGTTATTTTAAAAGGTATTAAATCTTGGTCTATTAGTGAAATGGATGGATTTTATTTCTTCGGACCTGATGCATTGAAAAGAACTGTATTTATTTGCAAGATGATAAATGATCAACAAATATTTACAATGTTCGAAACTGAAGTGAGAGAAGGTGCACTTTATGTTTTTCTAAATGAGAGCAATGTGAATCATAACCAAGAATTATTACTGCTAAATTTCAGTCATACATAATGTCTTGAGCATAATAAATGCTGTGTGTCCATTCGTATATACACCTACCATACTCTTGCAGCTTTTCAACGAGCTTCCCCACATCAATATTCAAGTGTCTTTCTATGAAGTTCTTTATAAAATTGTTTTGAAGAGCTTCCTAAAGTAAGAGAAATAATGTACAAGACAAAATCTGTGCTATTTATCATTGCCTGATTTTATTACATGTATGTATAGACCTACACAGATCTCCCTTCTCAGCCATAGATTTCCACTGTGTGACCGTATGCATCTCTCTTAGAGTCTGGGCCTCAGCTCCTCATCTGTAAAATGACCTCACAGAAGTATGAGGAGAAACACACTGAAGATTCTCAGGCAATTAGATACTACATAGAAGGGAACCAAATAAATGCCTATAGCAGATTGATATAACAAATTATACATTTGCTTCATCATCCTCAACTTATTTTTCTCTTTTGTTTCTGTTATTCAACTGAGATTGTAGAGTTTTCTTAATTAACTGTTTAAAATCAGAAAATGGATTCTTAAAAAAAAAATCTGTTTATGTTGTTTCAAACTGCCCCTGGTAAACTAGTGCTCTAATAAGAATTGAGAGCTACTAGGAAATAAACTGGTATTTGGTATCTTTCAGCCATTGGTCTTGATGCAATGAGGCCAAAGATATGACCATGCCTTTTCAAATGTATTATGACAAAAGACCCAAAACTCAACAAAATTAATTAGCCTGATTTGGATTTGTTATAGTGTGTACAGTCGGCTTTTGAAGTGTTTGTTTAGACTTTTACTTTTTTATATTGTAAGTGGAGAATATAGCCAATATCTGTTCACACCTTAACTAATAATAACTGTTCATACCTTATTAATAATAAAAAAGATAAGAGATTTTTTTCAAAGATGCTCACTGTAAAAAACTTTCTGTAAACTCAGGTCCAACATTCCATATTTTAGGTATCAATAATTGCATTAGTGATCTAACATCACATGTGTGTGTAAGGGAAGTAAGCGCGGTTCTAAAATGGCAGATGCACTTCATAATGAGACACAGTTAATGATTAGGCTTATGGTTCCAACAGATTTGGATTCAAAAGAAGCACTTAAAAAGAATACCCATTCTCAGGGACAAGCCCTAGATCAATGGGAGCACAGGGCAGTCAGGGTCTTACAGGCTTCAGCTTTAATGGATTGTAAAAGTGACCAGCTCTTGTTATATTATGAATTTGGCGCTGACGGAATGCAGAATCAGTCAAACAATAGGTAACTAATTAAAATAATTGAATGCTAGATGAAAGGCTTTTCAAGTGCTATCTCCTGGGTCCAGCACAATCTCCCTTTCTGTACTTAGAAATACGGCAAGTTCCCAGTGATCTAGTACAGCATATCATTTATGTGAATGTCTGTAGCACAAACATTTCACATTCTAAACTTCCATATCAGAGTCTGAATTCTAAACACCAAGGGAATTTGATAGATTCCTGTTTCTATGTCTTTCTGAATACTTTTTTGTATTCAAGTGATTTAGTAGAGACTCAAGTGAATAATTTCTCTTTTATCGCAAGGTGCCTAGCCATTCTGTACACTCAAAACAGAATGTATATTGTGCAGTATAAGCCATAATTGCTTCACCAAGCTGGCAGAATCCTGCTAGTATATTTTCCTCACTGTTAGTCTTGGATATCTTTGTAAAAGTAATGGTTTCTACCAGACAACCCCCACCTGTGGAGATCAGAATCATCAGGGTAGTGTACAGTGTACAGGGTAATGTACAGTGCTGGCTAGAGTACTAAGGTAATGCAATGGTAAGGATGGGAGATGGTATCTTAAAAGGTTATTATTTTTATTTACAGACTATTTAGAGGTACTTATATGACCTCCATTATGGTTTTATCTAAGCACATCACAAATCTTTAGTGTATTTGTCTTCACCACACCCTTATAAAGATAGGGCAGTGCTATTATCCTTATTTTACTGATGAGGACATGAGGCATAGAAAGGCTAAGTGACTTGCCCAGGTCATACAAAATGTTTCTGACAAGAGACTTGGCTAGTGCCCTAACCAGTAGATCGTATTTCATCTCCAGTCCTGATCCCCTCGAATTCAGTATAATAGCTCCTTACTCCATGGGTAACCCCACTAACTGCAGTGGGATTACTCATGGAATAAAGTACTATCCAGCATGAACAAGAATATCAGACCATACCCCCTTGAATTTAGCAGATACATATTAGAATATGTAACCCACGCAACACCTGCTGGGTGTGGTGTACTGTTCCATATAGTAGCACCAGGACCATTTGCAAATAGAATAATGAGCCTGCTCTATAGCCGTAACTAAGAGCAAGCTGGCTTTTAGCTCATGTGGTCACTCCAGAGGTCCCAGGTTCAGTTCCACTTGTTGGTGTTATATATGTACATGCCTAAAAGTAACCAACCACACAGCCTTATTGTTACCCTTGCTACTCCAACCCATCTATACATTTATTGTAAATTGGCTGATGCAGAGACCTTTCCATTAGCTTGTTCTATAAAATACAACATTTTGGAGCATTGAACTATTAGCAGTTGCTCAAACAACACTGCCTGGAAAATGGCATCTTCAGTTTCCATGTTCATTATCTCAATTTCTCCATTTGCTCAGTGTCCAAGAAAAAGGACTAACAATTAGCTCTGTGAGGCTTTTCAGGGTTTGCAAGTAACATTCCTTAATTGAATCTTAATTAACAATTCTATTGTTGATTCTATTGTTGATGCATGAGCATCAGTTAATTCTTCCACAGTTTAATGGCTCTGCAGATGGTGAAGGGTAAAAACTGCCAGAACTACATTTCAGTGACTAAAGAAGATATGACTTGGAAACCACTCAGAGAGAACTGTTAACAAGGTCCTACATTTATGCAGTCACTACTGTTGTTGCATTTTAAATGTCCTCCATTATCCCTATGAGGACTGAACCATTACATAAGGAGACACAATTGTAAGAATTAAGCAAGTTCAAGCTGTAACAGATATTTTAAAACTTGCCAGTTGCTTTAGATAACTAAATAAATTTGCAGTTGTACTATTCATTGCATTTCCAATCCAATATAACATTGTATTTCCAATGGCAATACTGCAGACAGGGAGGTAACTACTTATTTTACCTACTTTAAAATTGTGAAGATTTTCAGGACC